TTTTCAGGAAAAACTGTTAAATGTTCAGTTTCTATGCCATATGTAAAAACAAGATCTAGAGCAGGGGTCGGCAACCTTGGGCACGCGAAGGGTTAACTGATGGCACGACCATAGCTGGATTGTTCATTTTTATGAGCCTATGTTTTGTTTTGTTTTTTGTAATGGTATAAAGGTCCGAGTGTCAGGTGAACTGAACTTCAGGTAAGAAGTTGACAGGGGATTTCTAAGAATCACCCCACAATTCTTCAGCTGAGACACTTGAGTTAGAAAACACAAACACTGCAGTTGTCTTTACTCGCGAGGACGGTCACAGAGCGCTCGTACTGGGTCGTTGGCCCAGTTTTTTCAGTTTGTACTTTGTCACTGTTTATTTTCCATGTGCTTCTTGTTTGTGTTAGTCTCTGTCTGTGTGCATTATGTTCAGTTCCACTTCCCATGTGTCATTAGTTAGATTTAGTTCAGCTGTGTACTCCCCTGTTTCTTATCATCATCATCACCCTGTGTATTTAAGCCCACAATTCCTCAGTTCCTTGTATTGTCATTGTCAATCCCATGTGTGTGTTTTCAGTTCAGCCGAGTTGTCTCATGTTCTGTTTGTTGTGCCATCACAATCAACACCGTCCACAACCTCAACCAGCCTGTAAGTCCTGCATTTGGGTCCACCCTTTTTTCTCTCTCCACACAGCAACTGTGACAGAATGACAAGACTTGTGCCACGAAGCCATGATATGGAGCCAGCGGACTTCCAATTATACAAGTGGCAGCAAACAGCACTCTCCTTTCTGGAGAGGGAGCTGAGGGTTAAACTACCCAGTGGTGAGTGAAACTGACTTTTCCCCTCCTGCTCAACACAAGCCAAAGACTCCTGTTTGTTCTGCAAATAAGCCAGTGACTGTTCAACACACTGCTAGCCTGTCAAAACTTAAGACTAGTGATGGGTCCTGCAACACTGACGCACCGACGCTTGTATCAAGCTCACCCAGCGAAGCCTGTATCGGTGCGTGCGTCGCTTTAAGAAAAAGTCACGTGATCGATACAGCTGCTGTCTCGCTCATTGCCAACGCGCCAAACTGTGTTTAAAAGGTACTGCATCTGCCAACGGAATGAGTCAAATGGGTAATATTACATTCACAATACTTTCATTTTAATTTTCACTTAATGTCATTCATAATATATTTTAATGATGTCTACAATATTTGTAATATAGAAGATATAAAATGATTCCATGGAAAGTACAATACCTTACAGTGTATATAAGGATGACTAGGTCATTGAATCAGTGTCTGTTGTGAGTCTCAAGTAAGTTGCCTGCAATGATATTTAAAGTCTAACAGGTGTCAGTATGGAGCAAAACTGTGTCGACACAGTATCGATACAGTTTGAGGAATGTGCTGAGACGCTTCACGAGGCCTCATCTACCCATCACTACTTAAGACTGTTTATCAACTTAATTCCATAAAAATTGTTTTATCTTCTGAGGCTTTCACCAAGGACATTTACTCCTCAACATCTGATCATTTTGCTCATCTTGTCGTTATGTCCACACCTGTGTCTCTGCCTGGAGCGTGTGTGCGGCCTGGTGGGTGGCCACACCTGAGGGAGAGGATCACACACCTGCAGCTGATCAGGATCATCAGGGGAGCTACAAAGCAGTGTGGCTGAGAGCTCCTCGACGCTGGATTGTTGCGTAAGACTCCACGTCAGTGTCTGAGCGCAGTGTAAGGTCAGTTAGTGCATGCCCGTGAGTTTTTCTTACGGCTGCCTTTGCTATTTTTCCCCAGGAGGAGCGTGGAAATAGGAAGGCAGCGAGCACGGGGAGTGTGAAGACACGGGAGGGGAGAGCACAGAGACACAGACTTTTTGGGAAAAGACACGACACAGCAGTCAAGGGAGAGCACGGGATTTATTGTCATATGTTGCACTGTAAATAAATGAACTGTTCAGCATAGAGTCCAGCGTTTGGGTCCTCATTCCCCACCCCCCATGGTCTGCCTCGCTAACCGTGACATTCTGAACCTAATGTCTGGTCTGGTTGGGAACTCTGCCCCAAATCAAAAAAGCAAATTCTTTGCGGTTCTCCTCTCTTTTCCTTTCCTCTTTTGATTTGTCAAAATTCCTGGATGTGTGAGTCACAGAAGTGTGTCTCGCAGTTCCTTTTTTCTTCTTTGAAAAATAAAAAAATAATTGTAACCTTGTTTTCTGCTTAGCTGTCGCCTGAAGATTTACATCCCTAAAAAGCAGAAAGAGTTCCACGATCTGCTTAACATCTCCCTTGAACTTACACACACACACAGTGGGGCCATTGTGTGTGTGTACATGTGTAATCCTGCATGGGCCATGTAGGTTTGGATTTTTCCCCTTAATAACAAACACCTTCATTTAGAAACAGAATTTTGTGTTTGCTTGTGTTCTCTTTGTCTAATACTTAAATTTGTTTAATGATCTGAAACATTAAAGTGTGACAGTCACAAAAAATAGAAAAACATTTTTTCACTCCACTCTATAGTCCACTGAGTTCTGCTGTGGAAACATGACTTCTTGTAAATCAGCTGTTTTCACATATCTTACTGAGGCCCTCATGAAGACTCGCTGATTGGTTCATTTGTTGTTACCTTGGGTGGAGCTATTTCTTGTGACTAACCACAAAAGCTCAAAGCCAAACTGCGACTGCTCCCATTGTTACGGACTGCAGTGTGCTGCTCTCTTCACTTTCAGCGTCAGCAGGAATCCAGTGTAAGTTCTTTTA